CTCAGGTAAGGAACTTCTCAGTGAACCTGCAGGACAGACGGCAGTCAGCGTACCGGTACAGACCCTCCTCAGAACAGACAAAGCATACCACATGGGTAGGAAATCCTCTTCAGGTCAAACAGTGCTCCACATGCTGGTGCGAAGCCCTCTCCAGAACAGGCAAAGCACCACACGGATGTAAACTCCTCTTCAAATCACACCAGCACGTCGGGAAGAATAATGGCTCTTTCCTGCTTGATACACACTCCACACATCACAGTTAATACGGCCCAGCGTCCCACGGGGATAACAAGTCAGCTGGCCGAAGTTACGGTTAAAGACAGAACTGTTCTTCCCACACTCTTGTATTTAGATCAAATGCACATGATTATTTTTGCTTAATGTTATGAACAGCAGCTACGCTAATTATTTTCTATTTGATACTCTGTTTTATCTTTGGATGCCCATCTTGAGGTAACTAGAGAGTATGTCAGCTCCAGTTTGGATCCAGCCTATTATGAAAACTTCAAATGCCCAACACCTATAAAGAGACTGTGCCAACTACTGCGAGAGTTTCAGATGACGCAAACTCTGAATCAACATTCACCAATGCTACATTTTTTTAAAATGTCATACATTTGTGCTTTTTCAGTTGCTTATAAACATATTAATGGCAAAGGTACAATTACACTTTTGTATTTTTGAGAGAATATTGTTTATGCATGGTTATTAAAAAAACTAATAACTTAAAATTTCTGAAATAAGGCCACAAAACACATACTAAATATACTTTTGACTAATGGATGTTGTCGCCCAGAGTTTTCGCTTCAAAATGATCTGAAAATCATCCTGCCTAATCATTTACACAAAACAATACATTGATTTAAATTTTGTAAGACACTTTTTGTTTGGAAAGGCAATATGCGTGGGGGCGTGAATGATCATGAATAATGCTCTGATTCACACCTGAGAAGACAATGACCTGCATAATGAGCCTTTCACACAGGTGAAACACTGGGCACCAAAGAATGCGAGGACAAAAGAATATATATATATATATATATACACTCACCTAAAGGATTATTAGGAACACCTGTTCAGTTTCTCATTCGTGCAATTATCTAATCAACCAATCACATGGCAGTTGCTTCAATGCATTTAGGGGTGTGGTCCTGGTCAAAACAATCTCCTGAACTCCAAACTGAATGTCAGAATGGGAAAGAAAGGTGATTTAAGGAATTGTGAGCGTGGCATGGTTGTTGGTGCCAGACGGGCCGGTCTGAGTATTTCACAATCTGCTCAGTTACTGGGATTTCCATGCACAACCATTTCTAGGGTTTACAAAGAATGGTGTGAAAAGGGAAAAACATCCAGTATGCGGCAGTCCTGTGGGTGAAAATGCCTTGTTGATGCTAGAGGTCAGAGGAGAATGGGCCGACTGATTCAAGCTGATAGAAGAGCAACTTTGACTGAAATAATCACTCATTACAACCGAGGTATGCAGCAAAGCATTTGTGAAGCCACAACACGCACAACCTTGAGGCGGATGGGCTACAACAGCAGAAGACCCCACCGGGTACCACTCATCTCCACTACAAATAGGAAAAAGAGGCTACAATTTGCCAGAGCTCACCAAAATTGGACAGTTGAAGACTGGAAAAATGTTGCCTGGTCTGATGAGTCTCGATTTCTGTTGAGACATTCAGATGGTAGAGTCAGAATTTGGCGTAAACAGAATGAGAACATGGATCCATCATGCCTTGTTACCGCTGTGCAGGCTGGTGGTGGTGGTGGTGTAATGGTGTGGGGGATGTTTTCTTGGCACACTTTAGGCCCCTTAGTGCCAATTGGGCATCGTTTAAATGCCACGGCCTACCTGAGCATTGTTTCTGACCATGTCCATCCCTTTATGGCCACCATGTACCCATCCTCTGATGGCTATTTCCAGCAGGATAATGCATCATGTCACAAAGCTCGAATCATTTCATCAGTTTACTGTAATAAAATGGCCCCCACAGTCACCAGATCTCAACCCAATAGAGCATCTTTGGGATGTGGTGGAACGGGAGCTTCGTGCCCTGGATGTGCATCCCACAAATCTCCATCAACTGCAAGATGCTATCCTATCAATATGGACCAACATTTCTAAAGAATGCTTTCAGCACCTTGTTGAATCAATGCCACGTAGAATTAAGGCAGTTCTGAAGGCGAAAGGGGGTCAAACACAGTATTAGTATGGTGTTCCTAATAATCCTTTAGGTGAGTGTATATATATACAGTCGTGCTCAGAATCTGCAGGAACCAGAGAGGTTCTGTATGGAGGAATGGTCTCTGATCTCTTGTCAGTTGTTCTACAAACTCATCAGGCATTATAGGAGAAGACTCAGAGCTGTTATCTTGGCAAAAGGAGATTGCAAAAAGTATTGGTGCCAATAATTGTGGCAAATGTGTTTTTGGAGAAAAACATTTATTTCATAATGTGATTTTCCCCACACTTTCAATTCTTTTACTCCAATGAAAGGTTAGATATTTGGCAATTTTTTGAATGAAAGATCAAAAGGATAAACAATGCAGATTTATTTTTTACAGGCAGTTTTGATCATAGTTACCAGGGGTGCCATCAATTCTGAGCATGACTGTATATATATATATATATATATATATATATAAATGGGGAAAAAGACACATTTTTTCAAGATGTTTCCAAATCTAACTTTGAACCAATTCTGTAATATATATATATATATATATATATATATATCCAAATTTGTCACTAATAAAACACAATAAAAAAGGTTAAAATTACAACAACAATTACAATTTTAATAATATTTCAAGTGTAATCTTTCTTTGTAAAAAGTATACATTTTATCATACATATTTCAAAGGTATGGATTCATTAGTTTGAATATTGGAGCAAACACTATAATAACATCTTAGTTGATAATTCAATATACCTACTTTATTTTTGACAAAACATTCCATACTATATATTTAACATATGAGCAGAAATTGGCAAACAAAAGCTTATTTCATGTGGCTGTAGTCTTTTTTTACAGTAAAAACTTTATAATCCATCCAAAACTAATGGTATGGGTTTCATCAGAAACGATCTTAAAACAGGGCTTTAAGTGTAAAATACCAAACTTGTCCTTTAATGAGCTATAATGAGCTTTAAAACGATGGACATCTCTCTGTTTTCATACAGATTACATAAACTGAGAATATTTGTTTTTTATATAAATTATTTTATTTAAAAGAAGAGAATTCAAGCTTCATGCTTGTGTGCCTGTATTCCTGTGTGACTGAGTATTCGCTGAGTTAGAGTTCATTTTCAGACGGGTTTCAGAATGGACTTCACTGATAGAGAGAACGCAGAACTCACATCATGTTTATTTTTCTTTATTTGGCGAAAAGCACAACACTTTATTTTTTTGTGGATACTCACAATAAAAACAGACACTTAACAGGATCTAATGATGTACAACACTTATATGTAAGATCAAAATCAACAGTAAGAAACAATGATCTTGACAATGATAAGAAAAAAAGCAAGCTCGTCGCGCCGGCGCAATAGCTGACCAACTCTGGGGCTCTACCCCTAAAGCTCTACCCTTTCTTTGGCAGTTGACAGTTGAAAAAACAATTTCCATAAAGAAACTTCAAATGATCATACAGAATGATTTTCATATCAGCCTGTCAGAACTGGTCAAACTGTGTCAACTTCTGATAGGTCGAAGCAAGTCGATCACAGACATGCCGGAATAATGGCAGGGTGATGCAACATCTCTTTCCCTCTTCAGGGAAACGAGGTCACAGTCGTAACCGAGGTGTCCCTTTCAAGGGAACTCGCGTTGCATCAAGATGACCCAGTGGGAACGTCTATTCCAACGCCACTATAGTGACCAGTGTCTGTCTTGTGTGAAACCAGGCAAGCACAACAAAGATAGAAACCCCTGGGACCCAGGAGTGAAGCCCAAAACTAGCTTGTAAACCCGACAAGTGTGTGCAGAAAGGAAAAGCCTGGCGCATCACACACTTCTTGTAGGGATACCCCTAATACAAGGCTACACAGCCGCCATACTCCTCTTGCTCCAACGCACCATGAAGGAAAACGGTTTGTTTCCTGTGCAGGGAGTTCTAGATTGATCGTGGCCTCAACAACCTCAGTTGAGAGACCTGAGTCTATGAGTTAGGCCCCCTTAGAGGCCAAACCCACACTTCCATAACTCTGTTCTACAGAACTCCCGGGAGAAGAGCAAACAGGAAAACCATGTACAGACGCAGTACAGTCACGTCTGCAACTCCATATGAGCTCCACCACCTCAGGATGGAGTCTCCCTTCCATGGGCCTCAGCCGCTGCCTCGACAGGATGTCTGCTCCCTGAATCTGGTGACCAGGGATGTAGAGCCTGAGTTCTAGGTGAGATGGTGACCCGTCCACGGGCACCAAGCAACCATCCATGATCGATCCCCAGCCCGTGAGGGAAGCATCCGTCGTAAGCGTTAAGCAACGACAATGAGCTCTCAGCACAGGACCCTGGGACGAGAACAAGGCTTCTTCCACATAACTAGGGCATGTAAGCATCGCCGCGTGACCCTGATCATGCGAAAGGGGTTGCCCCTCAGGGAAAACCCTTTGGTCCTGAGCCACCACTGGAAGGGTTTCATAAACAACAGGCCAAAAGGTATCATGTTCGGACGCTGCTGCCATCAGACCCCACAGTCTCTGAAACTGTTTCACAGTGAGTGACTGGCCTAGCTTTATTCTTTTTACAGCCGACAGGATGGACTCTATGCGTGCCGCTGAGAGGTATGTCTGCATCGACATTGAGTCCCAAACCACGCCTAGAAAAGTGGTCCTCTGTAGTGAAGAAAGCAAACTCTTTTTGGCGTTTAGCCGTAACCCAAACTCTTTCATGTAGGCTGCAAAAACTGCATGCATCTTTAGTAACAGAGGCATTTTATCTTAAAGTGAGCAGACAGGGCATGTTTAAACAAACCAAGTCAAGAAATTGATCTTATTTCCACAGATAGATTATTACAATCTGCTGGAGCCTTAAACTTAAAAGTTCTTTTGCCAATTTTTTTTTTAGCTCGCGGGAAAGAGAAGTAAAGTTGAGTAGAGTTGAGTAGAGCCTATTAGTCAGATTGTGTCTCTCTCCTTTAAACCAACTCTCATGTTGTTCAAGGTGATTCTGACAGTAAGAGTTCAGACACACCAGACAGGACTTGACGGCTTTGCGTTTTCTTCTTGTACAGACGTCACACTGCACATCTCCAGCTCCAGCGTAACAGTCATCAGGAAGTTTAGTCTTTTTCAGTTTCTCCACCACTTCAGCCAGCATGGTGTTTTTAGCTAAAGCAGGTCTTGGACTGAAGGTCTGTCTGCACTGAGGGCAGCTGTAGACTGTCTTCTCATCCTCCTGATCCCAGCAGCTTGTAATACCGATCTTACAGAAACTGTGTCCACAGGGAATGGCCACCGGATCCTTCAGGAGATCCAGACACACTGGACACAGGAACTCATCCTGATCCACTGAAATTCTGGCATCTGACATTTTACTGCATGAGACACACAAGCAAACAACAGTATATCTTTCCCTGAACTGAAGAGTGTCCAATTTCCTGGTTCTGTGTTTGAGTGACGTGTGCAAAACAGGCGTGTGTGCAAGTCTGTAAAGCAGTTTCCTCATTCCTTCTGAGTTCAGTTTCGACCAAACTCTCACACACCTGGATGTTATTTTAAATGCAAAAACCTTTTGTTGATTCAGGTGTGTTCAGTAAGAGCTGGACTCTGCCAAACTCTGTTGTGTCTCTCCAGGAATAGAAAGAGGAACCCTGCTGTAAAGTCATCCTAAATCATCCACTAGATGTCATTCTCAGACAGTCACTCTAAGAACACAAGTTATTGAGAATCAGGACAACACCTTTACAAACTGCAGTAATAATGCATTTTAATTACTACACTTGTACTGCAGGACTGAAAAAGTTCAAAGCAAAGCAATGGCTCCCTGTGATCGATTGCTCCTGTCTGCCTTGCAGCCTGCTGTGAGTTTGCTGTGAGTTTGTTTGCTTCGAGGCTGCAAGCTCCGTCTAAACCTTGTATTAGCTTCGTATTTCTTTCTGTTTTGAACCATCATTTACTATCATTTCTAGTTGTTTATATACTACTAAATACAGCGTACCCAACATTTCAGATTAACCTGATATCGCTAGCTTCCGTTATTGTTAGCACAACATGCTAGTAACTCGCTAGCCTGATAACGCGCCACCCATGCGCTCAGTTATTTATTTATTTTTTCTCTCTCGCGCGCCCACGCCTTTGAGTTCATAAAAAGCCCAGGGGAGTAAGAATCAGTCAACAAACACGGTGAGTAATGTCTTGTCCTGTTATTGTCCCCTGCACTTCATGTCACATGTTTAGCATAGCCTTCTCTGTTGGCAATATAGGATATATATGTGATAAATGCAAGGAGACAGTCAGGCTGACGGAGATGATTTCAGAACTAGAGGCATGCATCCAAACTTTAATTGAGGATAGACTAGAATAGAATAGAATATTTATTTGTCATTGTAACAAGTACAAGGAAATTAAGTGCAGTCCTTGTCAGGTGCCAAACATTAAAAAATACAAAAAAATACGAAAATATACTACTATTGCATACCTATTAATACTAAAAACACATAAGATACACACCCATGCAGACATCCACATTTAAAAATTGCACATGACCCTTTTGACACAGATCAGTGGTGGGCACTATAATTTAGCAGCATTATTTAATGCACTTTTGGCTGTTGGATAAAAACTGTTTTGTAGTCTATTTGTTCTTGTTTTCATGGACCTATATCTCCTGCCTGATGGCAATAGTCTGAACAGTGTGTGACCGGGGTGTGATGAGTCCTGTATGATGGTTTTGGCCTTTTTGATGCAGCGGGAGCTGTGAAGTTCCTCCAGAGTGGGGAGGGGGCAACCAGTGATTTTTTGTGCTGCCTTTATGACACCCTGGAGATTTTTCCTCTGTGCCACAGTGCAGCTTGAAAACCACACACAGAGACAGTATGTCAGGATGTTCTCAATCGAGCAGCGATAGAAGGACACCAGCAGTTTTTTGGGGATGTGGTTCCTCCTGAGAACTCTTAGAAAGTAGAGTCTCCGCTGGGCCTTCTTCACTACCTCTGTGGTGTGGATGGCGCAGGTCAGGTCCTCCATGATGTTGACTCCCAGAAAACAGAAGTCAGAGACCCTCTCTACACAGGTTCCGCCTATGAACAGCGGCTGGATAACCGTTTTCTTTCTCCTGAAGTCCACAATGAGCTCCTTAGTCTTTGATGTATTGAGGAGCAAGTTGTTAACTCTGCACCACCCCATTAGTTTCGCCACCTCGTCTCTGTAATTGGACTCATCCCCCCCATGTGATGAGCCCCACTACCGTGGTATCATCAGCAAATTTGACAAAGGTGTTGCTCTGATGAGCAGGGGTGCAGTCGTGGGTGTAGAGGGTATAGAGCAGGAGTAATAGTAATTGTGCTGGAGTTTTAGATACTATTTTGGATGCGCCTAGCATAGTGAACTCTTTACATGATTCGGTTCCGGCTGAATTATTGCTTGTGCAGTAGAGCAGATGGGTGACAGTTAGGGACCGTTCTAGTCACGGATCAAAAAACCACTCTTCCGTTCCGAATACCATAACAAATCGATTTGCCCCGCTCAGTGAAACACCCACTGAGAAATCTGTTGATTGTGCCCTGGTAATTGGTGATTCGATCACACGGAACGTGAAAATAGAGACACACACATGGTTCTGTATTATTTAAAAAAAAAAGTAAAAATACATCTTTTAGAAAAATAATTTGTTTAATTCTCTTTCTAAAATGAAAATTGAATGACTAGAAAGAACACGAAGCAGTTAATAATCAAATCAGTTCTTTATTGAATTAAACAATTTTACCAGATAAATCAACCACCTTCATGTTTGATAAATGTTCATAAATGACAAAAAAAAAAAAAAAACATATATATGGCAATGAGATTAATAAGGCTTCAGGTAAACGATTGTCACATCAGATCATTGGTAGTGTGTCATCATCATCAACTCTATATTATCCACACATAAAGCCCTTCTATGAGCAGAACATCATCGCATCCGCCGCTCCAATATCCTCCTCGTGATCAGTCAACAGTTACACCTGCATTACTGTAGGAAACAGCTGAAGAACTGCAAGTTTATATCTCAGAATAGTGCAAAAGTAAACGAGTGCAAATATTTCACTTCAATTGCAGATGATATTTGGTCCCCAAAGCACACATCTCCCAAATGACAAACAGAATCCTCATCAAACGCACCAAATGCCGCCCGACTAAATAAGAAACAGAAGAAAACAGACCAAAGCGATGGTTGATAATAAGCTCCTTCACTCAGTATCGTAGTGTCTGTGGCAGCTCCAGCAAAGCTCATGTGCCGTAGCGATCCTGCGGGAACACACAGAGTTTAGTCGCGCGCATCCACACGGATGAACGGCTTCAGCAGAAGCAGAAGCAGAAGCTGACCTGTATAGAGGACACGACTCCGCTGGCCATGCCTGACAGCTTTCCCGCCACCGACCGAACACCACTCTTCAGCTGCATCATGTCCGGCACAGAGGGCATCATGTTACTCAAGCGGGACGAGCCGCCGGACACTGGGACACATCACATATATGAAGATTTACAATCGTTTCAACCGGAGCTCACTGTGTACAACAATAACCAATCATAATTGGTGTTTTGCCAGCTGAGAAGCGTATCTGTGTACTATCTATTATACATTGTATTCAACATTATATATAGCAGTTAAATGTAGTACTGACACTAAACCTCTGAAAAATGTTTCTCACACAGTAATTTTTATTTTTGGTGAACTATCCACGATCCATATTGTTGCATTTTTGTATCGGCGATATATTGAGCTTATATGTGATGGAGAAAGGGAAAAGAAAGAGTTTGTAAAGTCACGTCAAACGTTAACATAAACCCCCCTGCTCTCCACGCCACTGCTACTGTTATCAGACAGGTTTCTTCTGTCATTTCTCCGGCTCAATCACACATTGGTGGGCGGAGTCAGCGTAAATAAGGAGAGATATTTGGACTTAGTGTAAATAGACACTCCGTACTTTCATTTATTTTTCCCGAATACGAGTCACGGTTTTTAATGATCTTTAACGTGCTGCGACATATTCCAACGCAACTCACACAATGAAATTAACATCAAGTGTCAATTATGACAGAAACAAATGATTGGAATACAGATTGGAATCTCACTGAAGATGGAGAAATACCCTTCGCTTTATACTTGAGCAGGATATCAAGTTACTTTGATTAAAGTTTACAAGGCACACGAATTTAACGAAATAAAGATGTGCGCCGATAAATCATTTATAGGAAACACTGCAATATTGCATAAAAAACAAGAATGTAGAGTAGAGTAGTACGCACCTGTGGATTTCTTCTGCTCATCAAACAGATCTGCGGAGCTGATGGCCGAACTGCCCGAGTAATTCTCCAGTCGCGCCCGTACTTCATACTGAAACACGAGAAACACAAGCGTTCAACACCACAGAGCTCATCACACGGCATCTCACGCGCTCGTTCGCTGGCGTCACCTCAGAGTAGTCCTGCTTGCCGAAGAACATGTCGGATGAAATGGCCTTGGCGTTGGCGAACTTCCTCTGGGCGTCATCAGAGACACACTGCGGCTCCGTCGTCCTCCTCACCACGGCCCTGTGGGAGAACACAACACTGCGTTCAGCGCACGGCATGCTGGGACTGAGGCCGAGCACAGGAACGGCACAGGACTGTTTAAGAGCACAGGAACTGACCTCTCTGTGTCCTGGTCCATGTCAGCCTGCTGAAAGAAGAACGGATCTGTGAACTCCTCGTCCGGGAGCCTACGGGAAGAGGCAGGACACACTCATGAACAAGAGCACACACACACACCGCTCTCAGAGATCAGCAGCGAGCCGTCACCTGCAGGAGAAGCGCTTGTCCTCCTCCTCGTCGTGAGATCTTCTGCTGGAGGAGCTCAGAGCCGGAGCATCTTGCTGGATGATCCGCAGGTCCTCCGTCACCGAGTGAGACAGGCCGCTGGAACACAGGGAGACACTGTGACTTAGCCCCGCCCACACTGACATCTCACCGGCCAAACACACCGACATCTCGTCGGCCAAACACAGCCCTGCCCACACTGACATCTCACCGGCCAAACACACCGACATCTCGTCGGCCAAACACAGCCCCGCCCACACTGACATCTCGTCGGCCAAACACAGCCCCGCTCACACTGACATCTCACCGGCCAAACACAGCCCCGCCCACACTGACATCTCATCGGCCAAACACAGCCCCGCCCACACTGACATCTCATCGGCCAAACACAGCCCCGCCCACACTGACATCTCACCGGCCAAACACAGCCCCGCCCACACTGACATCTCATCGGCCAAACACAGCTCCGCCCACACTGACATCTCGTCGGCCAAACACAGCCCCGCTCACACTGACATCTCACCGGCCAAACACAGCCCCGCCCACACTGACATCTCGTCGGCCAAACACAGGCCCGCCCACACCTACATCTCGTCGGCCAAACACAGCCCCGCCCACACTGACATCTCGACGGCCAAACACAGCCCCGCCCACACTGACATCTCATCGGCCAAACACAGCCCCGCCCACACTGACATCTCGTCGGCCAAACACAGCCCCGCTCACACTGACATCTCACCGGCCAAACACAGCCCCGCCCACACTGACATCTCGTCGGCCAAACACAGGCCCGCCCACACCTACATCTCGTCGGCCAAACACAGCCCCGCCCACACTGACATCTCGTCGGCCAAACACAGCCCCGCCCACACTGACATCTCATCGGCCAAACACAGCCCCGCCCACACTGACATCTCGTCGGCCAAACACAGCCCCGCCCACACCTACATCTCATCGGCCAAACACAGCCCCGCCCACACTGACATCTCATCGGCCAAACACAGCCCCGCCCACACTGACATCTCATCGGCCAAACACAGCCCCGCCCACACTGACATCTCGCCGGCCAAACACAGCCCCGCCCACACTGACATCTCATCGGCCAAACACAGCCCCGCCCACACTGACATCTCGTCGGCCAAACACAGCCCTGCCCACACTGACATCTCATCGGCCAAACACAGCCCCGCCCACACTGACATCTCATCGGCCAAACACAGCCCCGCCCACACTGACATCTCATCGGCCAAACACAACCCCGCCCACACTGACATCTCATCGGCCAAACACAGCCCCGCCCACACTGACATCTCGTCGGCCAAACACAGCCCCGCCCACACTGACATCTCATCGGCCAAACACAACCCCGCCCACACTGACATCTCATCGGCCAAACACAGCCCCGCCCACACTGACATCTCGTCGGCCAAACACAGCCCCGCCCACACTGACATCTCATCGGCCAAACACTGCCCCGCCCACACTGACATCTCATCGGCCAAACACAACCCCGCCCACACTGACATCTCGTCGGCCAAACACAGCCCCGCCCACACTGACATCTCGTCGGCCAAACACAGCCCCGCCCACACTGACATCTCATCGGCCAAACACAGCCCCGCCCACACTGACATCTCACCGGCCAAACACAGCCCCGCCCACACTGACATCTCATCGGCCAAACACAGCCCCGCCCACACTGACATCTCGTCGGCCAAACACAGCCCCGCCCACACTGACATCTCACCGGCCAAACACAGCCCCGCCCACACTGACATCTCATCGGCCAAACACAGCCCCGCCCACACTGACACAGCCCCGCCCACACTGACATCTCATCGGCCAAACACAGCCCCGCCCACACTGACATCTCATCGGCCAAACACAGCCCCGCCCACACTGACACAGCCCCCCCCACACTGACATCTCATCATGAAGTGTATTTGACACACACTGGTATCTCAGCAGTGACACACTGACACACACACACACACACACACCTGCGGGCACCGAAGCCCATGCCGAGTCGCTCCGCCTGCTCCTTCCTCTTGCCGTCCATGCGACTCATCTGCTGCTCATTCCTCCTCGCGCTCCTCTGCAGCTCCAGACTGTCAAACGAGTGGCTCAGGGATGATCCTCTGAGAGACCATACACACACACACACACAGAGAGAAGGGTGAGCACACGCTCCCCATCACCACTGTCAAATACACTTCTTCAAAAATTCAGATTTTTTTAGATTTCTGGATTCTGTTGTTTTCACTTTCATTTTTCTGGAGTGTGATTTGAAATTATTTAAATTAAATATTAATAATCAAAAAGCATGTCAAGCAACTAATTGAAAACTCAAAACGTATACAATTCAACAATTTACTAAAAGTAAAAAATTAAAATAAAAAAAAACTTAAGGCCCTATGAAATCCCCTTTTTTTCCCCCACAAATTCAAATTTTTCCGCATAGATTTTTCTTTTTCATTTAAATTTATCTGGACTCTAAATTAAATATTAGCAATCAAAAAGCATGTCCAATTAATTCAAATCATTAAACATATACAATTTAACACAAAATTGTATACATTTTACCCCAAATTCCATGTTTCTTTCCATTAAAATTTTCTGGATTCCACTTTAATGGCTTAATTAAAAGTGAATTATGAAAAAGCATGTTTAACCAATGTAATTCATAAAACTTTACCTACTTCCCTACGAAAGAAATTCTGTAGTGTTCCTTTAATTTTTTCTGGATTTCTAATTTAACACAAACGCATTATCAATGACTCTTTTGACATGTAATCAGCTGAGATGCTCACGTCTGGTGTTGAGGCTCGGCGTCGCTGCTCTTCATCTCCTCCTGGAGTCTGTCCACGGCCTGAGCTCGTTTCTGCTGCGTGCTGAAGCTCTGGCTGCTGACCTTCTGTGCGCCCAGACCGGCCTTCCTGCCGCCCACCTGACACACACACACACACACACACGAGGATGAACGTCGTCTGAAACTGGGCATTACCAGCTCTTCTCCTGATTACTGCCTCTTCATGATCAATCACTTGTTGTGTTTCCAAATATTTGTCATGGTGAAAATGCCTGTATTTAACATAAGCTCAACACCCTGAACTTATGTCACGCCATGACATCACTTCCTGCTCTACGTCACGGGGCTCGCTGCTGTGAGGAATATTACCAGTAAAGGATCACGTCTGTCTGTGAGAAACTCACGGTTTTCCTGCCGGAGGTGGCGGTGGGTTTCTTCTTGGTCAGAGAGGGCAGCTCTGTAAGGGAGGGTTAGGAGTTATGAATATGATGATGATGATTTCAGCGGTACGTGTCTGTCTGAGGGGTGAGAGCGTCACCTGATGAAGATGATGAAGGAGATGTGCTGAGCTGCTCCATACTGGGACCCTCCTCACCAGCACCAGCACCGGCACCTGCACCCATCAAACACCAACAGCGTCCAGACACACCACACAACTGAACATATCTGAAACACCAGCACACACTATCATCATCATACCGTTATTATTCCTGTCCTGGACGGAGTCATGCTGTTGGCTAGTGTTCAGCTGGTGTCCCTCCTTCAGCATGGGCAGCTAAACACACACACACATATAAAGAGATCCATGAGAGCAGCATCACACATTCATACAGAGACATCCTGTTCACTACAGAAGAGTTCTGGATGGCTGATAGGGTGTTGCTAGCGTGTTCTGGGAGGTTTATAGGGTATTGCTAGGAAGTTGCTAGTTCTCACAAATGGTTATTATGGAGTTTTTAACATTTTCTTAACATGTTTTATCACATAGCTAGACCATCCTAACATGATATTGCATGATGCTAGCACATTTAGAGTTGTTTTTATCATGTAGTTAGTATTTTAGCACTTAGCTAATTGCTTTTAGCATGTAGCTATTCACTGCTAGCATATGTTGCATGTTGGAAGTCCTGTTTGCTAGCATTAGTCAAAAGTTCAAAACCCCATGTCTCTACGATGTTCTGATGCAGAGATATAGGTCTACCTAAACAGTTGCTAGGGTACTCTGTTTAGTTGCTAGGAAATGGCTTAGCAGCTGCCAGTGATAATGATACTCCAAAGGCTGCGTGTCAGTATGAAAGATACAAACCAACCGCAATCCCTCTATGCCATTCAGATGTGAAGATATCGCTCTTTGATTTTGGGTTGCCAGGGAGCTCGCCAATGGTTGCTAGGGCGTGGCTAGGAAGTGTTGAAGGTGATTGGCTGCCGCGAGTCAAACAAGCCCACCCTCATGTTTATATACCACTTCTATCTAAAGATAACTCTCTGATCTCTTTAAAAAAGGAAGTCTATGGGATCAGTTGCTAGGGTGCTCGACAATGGTTGTTAGGGCGTTGCTAGGAAGTGTTGAAGGTGATTGGCTGCCCCGAGTCAAACGAGCCCACCCTCATGTTTATATGACACTTCTATTCAGAGATAACCCTTGGATCTCTTTAAATGGAAGTCTATGGGATCAGTTGCTAGGGTGCTCGACAATGGTTGCTAGGGCGTTGCTAGGAAGTGTTGAAGGGGATTGGCTGCCGCGAGTCAAATGAGCCCACCCTCATGTTTATATGACACTTCTATTCAGAGATAACCCTTGGATCTCTTTAAATGGAAGTCTATGGGATCAGTTGCTAGAGTGCTCGACAATGGTTGCTAGGGCGTTGCTAGGAAGTGTTGAAGGTGATTGGCAGCGCCGAGTCAAATGAGCCCACCCTCATGTTTATATGACACTTCTATCCAAAGATAACCCTTTGATCACTCTGAATAGACATCTATGGGATCAGTTGCTAGGGTGCTCGACAACGGTTGCTAGGGCGAGGCTTGATAGACTGATTGATCATCATCATCATCATCATCAGCTGACCTGAATGTGCTGCGTGAAGAAGTCCTCGTGTTTGTCGACGGGAGACGAGGGCGAGAGCGGAGCCTGATTGTCCAGCCACAGCTATAGAGAGACACAGAGAGAGACATGAGTGGCATCACACCGATCATCATAATGGCGATCAGCTGATCAGTGACGTCATCACCTCGGTGCCGTGTTGGCGCGTGGCCTGCGTGGCCAAACTCTTGATGCGCTCGCGGTACAGCAGCGCCGCCCTGCTGCTGTATTTGATGTTGGCGGCGCTGGCGCTGCAGCCGTGCTGACTGAAGAACGCACTCTGTGGAGAACGCACACACACACACTCACGGTCAGAGTCACATGACTTCATCATCATCATCTTCGTCATCTTCATCACTCACCGCGCTGGCGTTGCCGCCGACCTGCATGCAGCGCAGCTGGAACCAGGACCAGTTGGAGTCCAGCTCCGTCGACCTGCAGAGACAGAGCAATCAGTGCCGTCATGTGACGTGATCATGTGACCTACACCGGCTCCCAACAGCGCCCTCTAGTGCTCGAGCATCACTCTACTCAGGGTGTGTAGCAGAATGTCATGGGGGAGGGAAAACAAGTGGAGGAAAACAGGGAATAAGGGGGAAAAAGGTCTCGTTGCGTCAGGCAATGCAAAGACGTTCTACATTTTTACTGAAATCTGCCGTCAAAGACGCCTTTTAAAGCTAAACGCAGACGTTTATGGTCACCCGTTTATTAAAGGGACAGACTGGACTGATGAAACCAACGACGATTAGCCTACTGTTAAAGCATGAATTTGATGTTACAATACATCTGCATAATATTATTCATATATGCAGTTCATAGAGGTCATAATGTATTAGTCCGACATATTTAAACTTATTATATAACATTTTATTTTTCACAGTTCTGACTTTTTTCTCGCAATTGCGCGTTTATGTCGCACAAGTGCAAGAAAAAAAGTCAGAATTGTGTGATATAAACCTGCACTCGGATTTTTTGATTTTTGTTTTTATATTCCGTGGCGGAAACAAGCTTCCGTTCCTACTTCAGGACCGTCACTTCCTGTCTTCAGCTAGGCTCCGCCCACTAGACACGTCATCGCTGTTTACAGACAGCCAAGCGGTGTCTCGAGTCGCAGCTGAACACTAGACTCACTCACAGCGTTACTTCACTCCTATCTTTTTCTGTTGTATTTGTCCCATGTGAGCTTCCACTGGTGTATGAGAGTGTGTGTACCTGATGAAGGACAGGTGAACCCCCAGAGAGCGGTGTGTCCCGGAACAGTCGATGCAGAGAAACACACCGTATGTGATGCTCGCCCAGCTGGGGTTCTTCAGGGAGCAGTCGAAGCACATCTGGACACACACACACACACTGCTTATAACAGCCAATACGTCTGTGACACTTTAAATTATGTTATAATGCTTTAAATTCATTCTGATTTGCATACAGAAACATTTTAACACACATTCAACTAACATTTTGAAGTTTTTCCACTTTTTGTTTTGTTGTGTACAAGTTAGTTTTCATGAAACACGTTTAAACGTTCGCAAGAACGCCACGTCTGCATCTGTACACTTGTTTTCACGAGTAACGCTGGTTTAATAAGCACCATGACGAGTGCAAAAACACGAACTTCATCTGCCATATGTTTGATATAAACATGTGACGTGTCACAGAAGTGTTCCTGCTCGACGCGGTCGGGCCAGGGCCTCGTCCTCAGGGGTCTCACTCACCTTGTTGGTGGGAAGGGAGCGCAGTCGCTTGAGGACCGTGGTGATGTCGTGTTTACTGGGGTCCGTCATGTTTACAGCTCTGCGTCAAACACCGAGTGAAGAAACACTCTGCGAACATCCGCGCTTCACTTCCGCATGCGCTGCTGACGTCACGCACCGCGCGCGCGCTGATTGGCCGAAAACACACGTGTGCTCAACTCATGCAAAACAGTCGAAATGAAATTAAATAAATTACTATAATGACTGGTTAGCGAAACAGAAAAAAAGAAATAATAATTTAATTTAAAATAATACAAAATATAAACATAATATAGTTTACTATTACTTGACTATAATACCAGTTTAGCAGAAATAAAAATAAATAATATAATTTAAAATGATATATAATAATGTACTTCATTAAATATGTCATCTCATATTCTTGAGATGGCATATAGGGGTCTGGTAGAAAGCATTTTACAGTTTAATATAACAGCTTGGTATGGCAACCTGAATGTGAAAGACAAAAACAAGCTTTCCAAAACTGTTAATATTGCAGGGAAGGTGATTGGCAGTCACAAAGGCAGCTTGGGGATGTGTATGATAGGGCGGTCCTCAGGAAGGCCAGACAGATCTCAGCAGACTCCCTACACACACTCAACTCAGAGTTTGAGTTGCTCCCATCTGGCCGGAGATCCAGGGTCCCGAGGGCGAGCCGGAACATCTATAAGAGATCCTTTATTCCCCATGCCATACAGGAACTTAATTTAAACTGAAAGCATTTTATGTGTTTATAAGTACCTTATTTCAATCGGCTGCGCTGCTTTCCATTTTCTGTTGATGGTGGTACTGTCATACTCTCTTAATTGTGTGTATTTTAATTGTGGTGGCACCGATGCATATCTGTTCAAAGAAGTCGAAGACAAATTTCCACTAAGGTGGACAATAAAGTCTAATACAATACAATTACGAATAATTAATTAATAACTAAATTACTGTTTGGTTAAAATGAAAATACATATATAAATAAAATGTTTTAAAGTAAAATATAACAAAGATAATAATTGACTTCACTAGCAGTAATGCTAATAATAACTCATGAAAGCAGAAGAGACTTGATGGTCAGAAGAACAAACTCTGACTGACAGTGTTTCTGCTCAGGGGTGTGTGTGTGTGTGTGTGTGTGTGTGTGTGTGTGTGTGTGTGTGTGTGTGTGTGTGTGTCTGAGTATGAGTGTGTGTGAGTGTGTGTGTGTCTGAGTATGAGTGTGTGTGTGTGTGTGTGTGTGTATGTGTGTCTGAGTATGAGTGTGTGTGAGTGTGTGTGTGTATGTGTGTCTGAGTATGTGTGTGTCTGTGTCTGTGTACGAGTGTGTGTGTGTGTGTCTGTGTATGAGTATGTGTGTGTCTGAGTGTGTGTGTCTGAGTATGAGTGTGTGTGTGAGTGCAAAACAGCAGTAACTCATTCAGTTACTTCCATTCTTTTATTTGTATATATATGTGACTGTGTGTGTTTGTGCGGATGGAATCACACTGGCCCTCATTTATCAAAAGTGCGTACACCAAATTCCCAGTGTACACCCAAACCCACGGTGACTTTGAGATTTATCAATATGGACGTTGGCGTACGGCACGCTCAAATCCTACGCCAGCTCAGGAGGAGGTGTACATGTGCGCACGTCTTGAGTTAGTGCGCAGAAAAACAATTCCTCACACCACAAAACACACTGACAAACTAAAAGATATGATATATTATGACCCACTGTAAAAAAACAACAACAAAAACATAGTAATTATAAACTTCAGTGTTTATGTTTGTGCAACATGGACTTCAATGTTTAATTTGTGTGAGTGTGACTTTACCAAAGTAAAAACCAAAGTTTTGTGGACAAAGTCAGTGGCTTCCCCACAGTCCACGTGAAAAGGTTAACTCGTACTCCTCAATGAGGTTCAGAAGTCTGTCCTTCCACTCCTCCGACACTTCACAAGCATCCAGATCCAGATCCAGCCGTTTTCATTTATCCAGCACTGTGTTCCCCACAGAAACAGCTGTGGACTCCGGGAGCTGAGCCCAAGCGAGATGCTCATGGTGCGGTTCTAGGGTATACTTGCTGTGCCCACTCTATCAGGCGTGTCTTCACCCTTCCATCGTTCCACATTAGAAAGTAGAGACAGGAATTGGTGACATTCAACATCCTCTGAGTTAACTGGGCCGGACACAAGTCTCCAGTATCCGTCTGTCTCTTTCACTTGATAGCATTGCTGCCCAGGATCAAATCGCCGGTTTGGCCTGGAACCACTAAAACTGGGACTACCATCTTGCAGGCATAAACTGAGAGCTCAAGCTCATACATCACTTTCGGGGTAACACACTGTCCGCCACACCCAATTATGACAACATCACCGGCAGGGACTTTTGTAAATTTGGCTTGTGCTGTAACAAGAGACGTTCAGCAGCTTCACTCATCGTGCCACTTTATACTCCAGGGCCGTTGAATGCTTGAATCTGATTGGTTGAGAACGTTCTAAGGTGTGCAATTATTTTCAGGGAAACGCACGGCTAAAGTAGTTCCGGCAGGTCTCGACCGCATTACAGCTCCATATCACTGCGCATAGTTGACTATAATAACGGAAAATAGGATAATTCATAACAAGAAAAACATGCAGCCCCATGCGCTTGACCTGCAATTTTCGATGTCTAACTTCACAATCAATGGACACATACAGTTTAATTTTAAAATCCTATCTATAGGCTAAATAGAAAATTAAATTGAATATAGGCTATATAAATAAATTGATAGTCCTGCTGGGTTTTCGTAATTATTCCAGATAATATAACAAATAAATAATTATTGATATGCCTACTTGTTAAAAGGGCTTTGTGTGTTTCATTTATTGGGTTATCTACTGTCAATTATAGAAAACAAGAATGAACGAATTAATTGAAACAAATTTAATTAATAAATAAATAATAATATTGACTCACATGCTTTTCTGTCTCATTATTGCAACATCTCTCTCTCTCCCTCTCTCTAATAACGGCATTAATAACTGCATAAAGCCGGGACACACTGACTAAGGCCAGTTATGAATGTAATTTGATACTTATGACTGATCATGCCAGCGCGTTCAGTCTGTAATTCACAGTCTGTGTTGCTACAGTCGATGGAAACAGTCAGTCTTCGGATGTTTCAGCGAGTCGTAAGTGTGTCCCCATCATTAGTCTGCTATCAGTGGCGATCAGTGGCTCAAACCTCCGTTAATCTAAAATGGCGTTTTGGAATCAGCAACGGAGGCATGGGATTAGATGCGTAAGAAATTAGTCCTAAAATCCGCTTCGCGTTACCACCTCGGGTGTGCATTATTTTCTAATAATTCAATGGCCTGTTGTCAATTATTCCTTACGTCAACCATAGCTTTCAGTTGAAGGTCGCCCCATAGTGTCGCCGGTATCAATTCGCTGTACTCGGTGCGTGTTTTGAAAGATTATAGTTTTCCCTGCAGGCTCAACAGAACTAGAAAGACTATAAACTGAGTTTGGGTCATACATGCAACACTGGGTAGGAGGAATAATCTCACGATCCACACGGTCCTCCCTTCTAGTTTCCCAGCCCTTGAGAAGACGGAGACTTCACTCTCTCAGGACAGATAAAGCGGGAGTGGTCAGGAGAGTGACACTGGAAACAGCTTTTTCTCAAGACAATGCGTGAGGCCAGAATGATCAGGGCTCGAACAGACAGTGCATGGCAGATCATTGAGGGCTTTTACTCTAGGCAGACTCACTTTGGGCTTCACACGTGCACCTGGCAGACTCTTTTAGCAGGACTTTCTCCAGTAAGCTCATGACTCGCTCCAATGCAGACGCTTCCAGAGACCTGGACTGCTGGACATCAGAAGGAGCTGGAAGTGCTGCAGACGACAGTTCCACCTCAGTTCTGTTCACAGGGATTTTAGTGGGTGCTGCATTTCTTACTGCAGATACAAGGCTGGAATCAGAGTGATATTCATTCAAAATATCTTGAACTTCTCGCACAGACCATGCGCCGATTGTTTTAGATCGAAAGGTGATGTCCCTGGACACTCCAGTCCTTTACCCTGTTCCTTCAACTTACTTGAGCATCACTCTGTACACCAGGCCCACTGAACTGTAAAGACCGTGGCACTTTCAATAAACCCCATCCTCTACCTTTACTACCACAGACTGGAGTGCTATAGTTATTAAAACCACTCATAATGAATATCAGTACTTGTAAAAAAAAATTACAATAAAGTACAATAAATCAAAAACTTAAAATGTGCTGATGTCCGTATAGCAAATTGTCCTTAGAAAATGTCGCAAATGTCTTTTCTTTAAAAAGTGTTTTTTTTTTAAACCGTTCCTGAGCAAAAGTGTGTCCACCTGACTCCAGCGGAAGCTTTAAGATGAACCCTCGGCCGCTTCAGGAGCCATCTTGATTGAAGAAACAACGGGTCACGGCACCAATGTGACTGTGTGTGTTTGTGCGGATGGATCACACTGAGAGCGGGTGGATGGCCACTCGAGAATATTCTTTACTGAGCCTGGGACAAACGACCAAAAGCTGGTTAGCGTACAGTGCATCACGCTGCTTAACCCTCTGGGGTTGTTCGTTTAACAGTCACACTTGGGGTGTTCGGGTCCAAATGGACCGAAAGGGCAGGATTCATATTTAAAAAAAAAAAAAAATCATAATTTTTTTTTTTTTACTTGTTTTTTATTTAAAAAAAATCTTTTCTTTTTTGGTGTTTTGAGATATTTTATGATTTATAATTAATATTTATGCAATCATTATGACCCATTTTTTCCCATTGAACATAATAGACTTTTTTTTTTTTTTTTTTATCAAAGCTGTATTACATTTTAGAGTGAAGCCGAGGCCTCATGAAAGCAATTTAAAAAAAATATATAGATGCCATCTGGTGGACACACTGAGCATTTTTATCACGCAATAGCACATTTTTACCACTAGTGGATTTACAGCTCTCTGCAGAAAGGCTTGGGGATTCTAGTGATTTTTGCAAATATATAGCACTTTTTTTTCAGGTTGTTGATTTTTAAAATATAATAACAGATTCTCAGAGACTATTTTTGTCTTGTTTTTTGTTTGTTTGTTTGGTTTAAATGGTAATTTGAAGTGCCAGTTTTACTTTAAAATACAGATTATTATAAATATATAATACAGTGTGTGTGTGTCTGTTTTGCACTCTTGATGTTTTAGAGATTCACCCCTTCACCGTTGAGTCATTTTTTCTGCATTCTGGCTGATTTGTATATTGTATGCACAAAAAACTCTTTTCATATTTTTGACAATTTCACATTCATTTCCTATGGGGGTCCATTTGGACCCGAAGGTCCTGAGTTTGACTTTTTTTTTTTTACAACCACTTAGACTATTCAGATCCTGTCCCCATTTTTTTGTGTGTGTTCACATACCAAATACCATAAAAGTCACATAGTTTCGTAACATTCCGATTAAGCTGTGATTTTTAAAAATTCAAAACAGATTTATGTAATCTGAATTTATGAGTGTGTATGTGTATAAAAGTGTGTGTGTGTGGATGTGTCTGTTTTGCACTCTTGATGTTTTATAGATTCACCCCTTCACTGTTGTGTGCTTTATGGATTGTGACTGATTTGTAGATTGTACGCACCAAAAAAACTCTGTTTTTTCACATTTTTGCCAATTTCCCATTCATTTTCGAGGGGGGTCCATTTGGACCCGAAGGTCCTGAGTGTGACTATTTTTTTTACAACCACTTAGACTGTTCACATCCTGTCCCCAATTTTTTTGGGTGTTCACATACCAAATACCAATAAAGTCACCAAATTTCGGACCATTCCGAAGAAGCTGTGATTTTTAACGTTTTTTTATTTGAATGATTCGAGTCCATTTGGGCCGAACAACCCCAGAGGCTTAAGATGTCAGCAGGAGAGATGCGAGACTCTGCTGGTGGTGACGTAGCTCCGCCCACAATATCACACACACAAACACCAGTGACGCAACAGCCAACGTCGAGCTTCCCAATTAATGCAGGAATTTAACAGCATTATTTAAACTCTGTTACATATATATATTCTCCGTTTTAATTGTAAGTATACACAGGCAAATATCATAATGATTAAATTTAAGGGGAAAAAAAGACTCAACAAAATGGAAATTCAATTCATTTATTGCCAGCTTGACAAAATACAAAAGTAAATAAACTCCACCTGTGTAACTGAGTTCTGCCATGTGACGTCAAACAGCTCAACCTGACGCGCACAGCAATGCTAAAACTCAATCGGTCCGACTCGTTTCTGCACATGTGTGAAGAACATGGCAGCACACACACACACACACACACACACTCGCTTTGGCGTCGACTCTTATTTACACACAACGCTAAACATTCAGCTCATGTCAACATTCACAATACATTCTCAGAGTGATCATAGCATGTGTGCACTGAGACGCAGGAGAACTCTCACACACACACACTCCATCTATAGTATAAGTGTGTGTGTCTACAGCATGTGGTCCAGTGCACACGTCCAGCTGAAGACCGGACTCATAGCCATGAGAGTGAAAGCACACAGCGCAGTCTCAGTGGCCTGGGGGTCAGAGGTCAGGGGTCAGGGGTCAGAGGTCAGGTGTGCAGACGGATCAGTGTGATTATATTCCTAAAAGCAAACAGCATCGGTAAAACTCTTTAAAATCAGCAGATCACTGTGAACTATCGTCTACGCTCGGCATCTGATGTGTGTGAGGCGCTGTGATGATGTTTCCCCTCATGCCGCGGTGTGTGAGTGTGTGAGGCGGCTGGTCTGCAGTCACACACACACACACACTCCGGTCTCACTGCAGGTCCTCCGCGTAGTTGGCAGGATAGAGTCCAACGGTGCCGTCGCTCAGACGTCCTCTACACCAGCCCTGCTCGTCCTCCTCACCGATCTTAGTGAACTCCTCTCCTGCACACACACACACACACACACACATTCACTACTGTTCTGACTTCACCACTAGATCTCGAACCAGGAATGGAGGAGAACACTGTGATTGGTACATTTCTCCTCTTCAAACCAAACTAGCTAGTTTAATCCCGCCAGGCTAGCGCTCTTCCCGTAGCGTTCACGCGTCAGGCCTGGAAACGAGCGCAGCACGAGCGTCTACACCACGTATGCTTTGGGCTTCCTCTGGAAGTGTTCGACTCAAACCATTTTGCGAACAGTTTTCCTGCCTGTGCGAGCAACACTTGATATAGTTGCCCAAAACTGCAATACATCGAAGATCCGCTAGGGACAGGTCCCAGAAGGGAGCAAATGTCCATAGACCCCCATGTTAAAATGTCCGTTTTCACAGCATAAATTCATGTTTTTACAGGTTGGTCCCATGGACTTTTATTGTATTTTTCGATAGGTTCCGAGTGCCTGACAACTCTGAGGAGGGTGAATTTTTTTCTAACCCGTTAGTTTAGATCGTATTTAGATATAAAATGTATGACAAATAAGGGCGTGGTTAACTTTGATTGACAGCTTGATTGACAGCGTCGAGTGGAATTCCTGAAAGTTGCCGTCTCGGCCATGATCTGACACAACACATCATACCACCTCTGTATCCTTTCTGAACATTTGTATTGAAATATCGTACATAACATGGGTTACTCTGCTGTAAACTGCACTAACCGACACTGTAGGAGTAAGTTACTTCGCTCCTTTATTTCCGGTAAGTGGCGTTCCACTACTATTTCACGTAGTTAGCACTATTTAGCATCAGTGTTTGTGGGCAGTGGCACTGCAACAGCTAGCATTAAATCGCCTCAGATAAGTTAGCGTCCGACGTACTTTACCTATGGTTATAACTGACATTTGAAACACGTCTGCCAAATGTATAAATGTAACATAAGAATAGACTGATCTGCGAGCTATGCTGCAAAATGCGTTTTACATACAGGCTTCAGTAAATCGAGGAAAAGGAGTTTCAACATAAGAATGACACTGGCTGTAAAGAGTAGCCTAGTCTGCCAGTCGATCTTGTAGCGTTACAGATAGCTGAGGCTTGGCTGAAGAGGCGCGTCCACCGGCCGGCTCAGTCTCACACAAAGCCCGCCCTTTTACCCATATATGGATTGCCAGAAGGTGGGCGGGGTTAGGATTTCCCAAGATTTCCCAAGATGGCGCCGCCCATACCCCCCATAAACAGCTTCAAACCGTTCTTCAGAGAGTCTATGGGTGACGTCACAGACGCTTTGTCCATATTTTTTACAGTCTATGGTTCTGACCAATAGCAGACCAGCCTCGATCACGAGTCACCGTCACTACACAGCGCTGGACATCCAGTGAAGAAATACACAGAGTTCGCCACAGTATTAATAACTAATAATAAATAATTATTATTTTTAACATTTTTGTTCGTCCTTCAAAGATCGTCCCCAAAGGTTTCAAGATTTAGAGAAACTCAGACTTATTTAAAAATAAAAAAGATGCATTACCACTGTAACCAGTAGGCAGCTGCAGAGGACGCCTATTAGCCAACTTCACTCCCTAATATCTTTCACTCGTTTTGCTTTTGAATTAATATGAAGACATTGCAAATTATAATAATTCAAGTTAATGTTATCCACAGCTCAGTGCTCTGGTTCTGCTGTCCTCAAGTGTTATTCAGGAGCCCGTGAACTTTAACATTGTTATTTCTCTACGTTAACTCTTTATTACGGCTCTGTGGAATACTTGATTCTGATTGGTCGATCGCTCCATCCAGTGTTCTATTCTTCCCAGATAACAGCGGCTGAACACAGAAACACAGGCTCACTGAAGTCTCACACACACCTGCTCTGAAGCTGAGCTCGTCCTGCTCCTGGCCCTCGTACTCGTACAGCGCGCGCACACACACCGACACCACTGGGGAAGCAGGCTCGTCCTCAAACGGGTTCCCGTTAGCGTTAGCATTAGCGGAGGCGAAGGGATTCCCTGCTTCCTCATCCGAGCCGTCGGCCTCCGGCGTCTTCTCCACCACACTAGCACTGAGGGGACACACACACACACACACACACGTCAAACACAACCGACACAGAGCGGGAAGAGTGAGAGGAGAGGACACACATGACGTGAGTGTGTGTGTGTGTGTGTGAGAGTGAGTGTGTGAAGCTTCACCACCACCGCAGCCATGCACACACACACACACACACACACACACAGCTGATACGAGCACAAGCAGAGGCCGGACGAGGAGAGAGAGAGAGAAACACAGAGACAGGAGGAGAGGAGATGAGATCATCTGTGTCACCAACGTTTGCTTGACCATCATCACTTCCTGTGGTGTGACCGTGATCTCGGGCCGCTGCTGCTCCACCGGCTCTTCCTCATCCTCGTCATCCTCGTCTTCGAACGGGTTCAGGCACACGGCCTCTGAGCTACTGGCTCCGGTCACGCTAGCAACACAGAGACAGCGTTACACACACACACACACTCACAGACTGTGTGCTCAGCTAGTGCTAACAGACACTCACAGCCTCAGGCAGGATCTGGATCACACAACACACTGACAGAACCGGTTTCACATTTACATATTTACACACACACACACACACTCAATGATGTCTGGCTCACGACTGCACGGGTTCACACTCTGACATCTGATCATTCAGAATTACTAGATTAAAATTAGTATCTTGTGTTTTTAACTTTCTCATAATTATGACAGTATATCATATGACACGTTTTAAATTAGTATAATTTTGAATGTTTAAGTGGTAATTGTGATTTCCCAAGGCAGAGATGGGCTTGTGTGTACTTTAACATCGGCGCTCACTAACTCATGTGTCCATTAAACACACCAAACACAGCATGAGGGACGGCGTCACATTCTCTAGAGGACACTGGTAATGAACTCAAGTATTTAGGAGTATATATATATATATGACTCCAGCTTAACATTTAAACGTCATGCAAATTAATACCAATCTTGAGTATTGTTTTATAAATTGGTCATTGACACATCTACTCTTAAACATATTGAATCTCTATTTATGTTAAGCCTAATTCCCAGTCGAATTAAAAGTAAACCTTATATCATCTTATCAATAAGATTAGAGCGACAGCACTGGGAACGCCCACACGACTCACAGTACAGAGAGTAGCGACACACACACACACACTACCGGTGTGAACGGGGCTTCACTTCTACTGGGAAAGGAAATGGACAATGAGACCGACATCTCTCGGGTCATCATCCACGTGCTCAACACTGGTCACACACACACACACACACACTGGTCTCTCTCACCTGCTGCTGGTTTTGGAGGCCGTGGTCTCTGTGGTGTGACTGATTCCTGTCAGAGTGACTCCATCAGTGGTCACACACACACACACACACACACACACACACACACACACACACACACACACACACACACACACACACACACACACACACACACACACACACACACACACACACACACACACACACACACACACACACACACACACACACACACACACACTGGTCTCTCTCACCTGCTGCTGGTTTTGGAGGCCGTGGTCTCTGTGGTGTGACTGATTCCTGTCAGAGTGACTCCATCAGTGGTCACACACACACACACACACACACACACACACACACACACACACACACACACACTGGTCTCTCTCACCTGCTGCTGGTTTTGGAGGCCGTGGTCTCTGTGGTGTGACTGATTCCTGTCAGAGTGACTCCATCAGTGGTCACACACACACACACACACACACACACACACACACACACACACACACACACACACACACACACACACACACACACACACACACACACACACACACTGGTCTCTCTCACCTGCTGCTGGTTTTGGAGGCCGTGGTCTCTGTGGTGTGACTGATTCCTGTCAGAGTGACTCCATCAGTGGGTTTCCTCTTAGT